CTTTAATGTTCCACTAAATGAGGACAAATGTTTAATGATACAAGTCTTTTTTTTGTAAGCTGTTATGGTCGGTATACCTACGGGTGTAAGGAAATATGTTTGACATGTCCGGTATTAAGAGGAGTCCGGTATTAGGGACATATATGTATATATATATATATATATATATATATATATATATATATATAGTGCCGTTGTCTGAGTCTGTCGTGGGGCTGGGGTTGGGCATCTTAATAACTGGCTGTAATTAATGATTTCATTTTCTAGAACATTTTGCACGAATCTCTCATTTTTCCTTGAGTCTTGATGGAAAAGTTAATGCCTTTAAATTTGTTTTTGTGTGTGTGTGTGTGTGTGTTTCGTAATAAAGTGCAATGTCGAGAAGAAATTTTGATTGAAATGTGGACACGAATAATTGTGTACCCACTTTTGTAAGCGACAATAAAAACCACGTGTGGTTTGCTTTTTTATTATTCTTATTTTCTTGGCGTATTTGTTGTTTTTCCATGTTCACGCACAAAAGATTGCTAGCCTTAAAAAAAAACGAAGGGTTCCAACCAATTATGTCTATACAGTGCGTCCCGCAAAAAACAAAACCGAGAATTATCGATGTTTTATCATAACTTTATCACAGTTATAATTAATAAGTAACACATATTTGTGAAGCTTAGATCTTCCCCTTTCATTTGATGCATTTCATATGATGCATATTTCACGCATGAGTGATTGAAAACAATCTAAAGATAATTTTGCAAACGGTATCTGATTTTCAAAAAGAAAATCACATTTCCAGAAAGTTCATTTTCTGCTGTTTTATATGACACCTCAATCAGGAAAAATGAGCCAGGAATAACAAAGTTATGTTCGTTTAAAGTTGTGCTTGCATTTCCATTATTTATTCAACGAATTCTTTTCTCTAACTGCCTGCCGTAGCAACAAACAAGAAACTCCAAACTTTTAAAAAACCATTATACTGGATATTTAGATATACAGATTAGATTGTTAGATTGTTAGATTGTTATGCTGTTATCAACCTTACATACATGTATGCAGGTTACATGTTATTCTTAGAGTTTAGATTGTTTGTACGTAGGCCTAGTATAGTTTAGTTATACTCTTTGTAAGATTTGTTGTTATTATACTCATCATGTTTATACTCCCTATATATCTATGTAACATATGTTTTATGGACCTCTGCCTTGTGTAGATGAGTCTGAAATAAAGTTCCGAATTGAATTGAATTGAATTGAATACATTCAATTTCATTACTTTAAACTATGTAAATGTATTATATTATTGAATATGGAATTATATATCTAATTTCTTGTCAAAATCACTGTTCCGTTGAAAAGGGAGAAAAAATGAAACTGAAACTGAAACTGAATTATAATTGTGATTAAGATATGATAAAACATCGATAATTCTCGGTTGCGTGTTTTCTGGGACCAACTGTATATCGTGTATTTGGGTGTTTTTCACTATTCAACGTGTGAAGATTGGCCCGGTTATTATATTGGTTCCATACGGTGATATGACGCAATAGTCCGGTAGAAGTTTTTCAGACCTGGTTTCCTGGATTAAGATTAGCAAAATTATTACATACTGCACATATATGCTAATTAGATGATTATGCCAATTAGGCTAATTATACTACATCTTTATGGAATATCTTCTTATGAATTAATGATTAGTCTTTCAAAAGTGATTTACAATTTTGCATTGCACCATTTTTAGGCTTTATAGATAAACAATGACAATGAAGTCCATTATATTGTACATATGCTAATTATGCTATTTAAGACAATTGTATTACTTTAAAATAAAAATTGGTGTCATAAATGAGTTCCTTGTCATAGAGAACCCTTGAAAAGTCGTATTATCCATATTTTCAGGCTTCCGGGATTGAGATTGGCAACATTATTACATAATTATTGCACATATGCTAATTAGATGAATATGCTAATATGGCTATTAAAAAAGTTGCCCAAGGTCGCCAAGCTGGCAACCTATCTGAATTTACTTCAATACCCATCTAGAACACAAATCAACAAAAAAACCTTATACTTATCAACTTTTCCAGGTCATGCACATGGTATATGGTACCGTCTACTGGACTACAAACCCTCAGATAGTCTTTGACTCTATTCTGAATGAGTTGAATTTCGACCTCATCCCCGCACTATCAATTTAAAATTACTTCTTCAAGATCATTTTGCGTGAATCTATCATTTTTCATTGAGTCTTGATGGAAAAGGAAATACTGCCATTAAATTTGTTTTTTTGGTGTGTTTATTGGTTATCTTAGTCAGACTTAGTGCAATGACGAGAAGAAATTGTGCTGGAAATGTGGACACGAACAAATAATTATGTGTACTCAATTTCGTAAGCAATAATAAAAGTCACGTGTGGTTTGCTTTTTAATTATTTTCATTTTCTTGCTATATAATATTGTTTCTTCCCACGATCACGGCTTCATACATGCACGCACAAAAGATTGCTAGCCTTCAAACAACAAAGGATTCCCATCCAGATGTCTATATTATCGGGTATTTGGGTGTTTCCCACTATTCAACGTGTGAAGATTGGCGCGGTTATTATGTTGGTTCCATAATGGTGATATGACGCAAACCCTCAGATAGTCTTTGACTCTATTCTTACTGAGGTGAATTTTGACCCCCTCCCCCCTTCATCACACTTTACAAAATCCACGCCTGCCGCGAACCTGCTTCAGATCGTGACGTGCCTTTTCCCTTTTAAGTGTCTCGCAACTTTTGAGACCAATCAGTTTGCAAAATTTGGCAGTCTTTTGCGAGGTCACAGTTGTCCAGCTGAACAGCGGGAGCTTGGCCTATATACGGATAGGTGAGGGCCCTGGGTCCACTCCTAACTCGTGTTTTAGCCCTTCTTTCTTCCCTTTTCCTTTCCTTTCCTTTCCTTTCCTTTTCTTTCCTTTCCTTTCCCTTTTTTTTTGGGGGGGGGGGAGGGGGGCCGGGCCCGTCGGGCCCCCCGTGGATCCGCGCCTGTTCCTAAAATGTCCTGGTTCTAAGAAGCCAATTTAAACAGAGTAGAACTCCCTTTTACAGTTTATTTTTCTTACCGTGTAAATTTCTATTCAATTATGCGTTTGAACAAGGATCGTACCTTACAAGTTTTATAAAATTGACGTGACCCTTCGAACCCTTGGCTTTACATTCGTTAACCAAATTAAACAATTAAAAAACGGATCTTGGCTGTCGAGTCTTTAGTTTGTTACTCTTTATAATTACACGAAAAATAGTAAAGATACGATATTATCATGTTTTAAAAAATCGAATAGCCGGGAAACATGTAAAAGGTTTTTAGAACAAATTTCGCACTTGATGACAAAAATATCTATAAACACTGTCTTGTTACGTTATTCCTGATTTCAAATAAGTATAATTTCTAGTGATTAAACAACGTGGTTTCATTAGTAAATGACATAGACAGGGAAGGCACAATTTGCTACAAAGCAATTTTTAAATTCGTTGCACTTTTTGTTTTATTGTTATTATGCATGGGAAGGTCGAGAATGATGTGATAGCTATGATCTTAATGATTTTTTTTTTTAATCAAACTTTTTGATAGTTTATTACATATGTATTTTTGAAACTATTGTAAATATATTTTTTTATTTATTACTTGTTGTTGTTGGTTATTTGTGTTGGGTGCACAGATAGTAAGATCGAGCTCAAAAAGATACGATGACGATTGTACAGGCAGTAGTAGTAGTAGTAGTAGTAGTAGTAGTAGTAGTAGTAGTAGTAGTAATAGTAGTAGTAGTAGTAGTAGTAGTAGTAGTAGTAGTAGTAGTAGTAGTAATAGTAGTAGTAGTAGTAGTAGTAGTAGTAGTAGTAGTAATAGTAGTAGTAGTAGTAGTAGTAGTAGTAGTAGTAGTAGTAGTAGTAGTAGTACTCTCTAAAAGAAATCGAGTGATCACGGACATCCCTCCTCTGGAGAGTGAAAATGTAGTGAAAATAGAGTGAACATTCACTTTTTTCTTCTTAGAGAGCACTCGAAAATCAATCGCATTCACTCCTAAACAAGCGATCCCTGACGTCACTCCCAAGAAAGTGAAAATAGAGCGAAAATTCCCATTTTTTTTAGAGAGAGAGAGTAGTAATAGTATTCTTTTATTTATTTATTCATTAAGTCAGTTCGTGTCACTTTGATGGGGGGGGGGGGGGGGGGGGTATCCGACACACGTAACAAACAAAACGCCTTCTCTTTTGCTTTTGAATTTAACGAGAAATATTCACCAATTAGCTCTAAGCATCATTAATATTTGACCTGGATAATTTAGTCCAACATACGTCTCAGATGATTAACGAAATATTGCGTGCAACTTCTTCAAATTGCTGTTTTAAATCAACAGTTTACTGTCCGGTTATACAACCTGTCCGGACACACAACATCTGGGTATAAATGTTACCAGGTGTGGTAGAACTAACTTGTCGATTATTTGCAAGGGTTACCTACTTCAGAAAAGAAAGAAAGACTTTAAAGGTAAAGACCAGTTATGGTCATGCGATTGCATTGTGAAAGAAACGTTGTGGAATCGATCAGAAAAGGTTGATCATCTAGCATCTAGCATCTGCAAGGTTCTGGAATAATCAAAATGATAAGAAATTTGGCCCATTCTTCGTAAAGTTACAAGCACTATACACATAAAGATGTATATGGGACTACCCTATATCTCTCACAGTCCATTAGAGAAACAAATTTACCAAATATATGAATTAGTAGGTGGTTTCCCGGCAAATTTTTTATCATCATGTATTAGTCAAAACATTTTCTTTCACATGATTGGTAATGAGAGCTTCCATTTTCATTTTTTGAAATTAGGGCGTTTCCAATACTGGTCTTTACCTTTAATAATGACGCTTTTTGATAAGCTTTTTAATAAGCTATGTATTCCTTACTCTCATGTAATCTTCCTATCTTTGTATATACTTCACAACCTTCTTGTTACACAGATACTGCTCAGATATTTATTGGTGATACCAATGTCCCTGGTATCCTCTACGCTTCCCTGCCGGAACCACGGGATGATACCAACATTATGGACACCCTCTTCAACCTGATACCTCTTCCAGAGAATAGTGGAATAAATGGAATCGACTATGATCCAGGGAATAAAATGGTGTACTGGAATGATTTCAATATGGATCGAATAAGTCGAATCCAACTTGACGGCACGAACCAAGAAGTCATTCTATCTACGAACTGTGAGTGAATAGCAATATGCTTACTTTGCAAGTGCAATGTTTCTATATATTTTACAATGAATTGTTATTATTTATTTACCATGATTAATCATAGTAAGGTAATAACGCAATATACTTTGCGGATACTCTCTGTCATTGTTAATTCGAACATTAACAGTGGGCGCATACACACCACACGTGCAATACGATATAACGTGTTGAAAAGAGGATAATACCTAAATCCCTCCTGATAAAACGCAACGTTTCATTGGCAATTTCAAAGCTAGACCATCACCATGAATCTTATTCATGAAGATAAATTGCAAGTGCATAATCGATCTTGTGATAAAGTAGTGATTCAAAATAATATTATTATTATCATCATTCTTATTATTATTATCATTAAATTGTACTGATGTATCGTTTGAATGAATTTTCAGCCCCTCATTCTATCGCTCTCGATCTGGTGAACGGGAAGATCTACTGGACGATGTATAATGATAGGGCTATCTTACGTGCCAATCTCGACGGTAGCTCGGTAGAAGAACTCTTCAAATATACGAGTTTTGTGCAACCTACTTCAATCTTGGTGGACCCCGTCAATGGGTAAATATTAGTTAAATTGAGATAGATAACAGTATGTCCATTTATTTACCATACCTATACTTTATAAATAACTCTACTGCGATTTCGTGAGTATCATATTAATATGCAGGCTTTAGCAAATCTGCCACTGAAATTCTACATGAAGTCTAGAATACAGGGGGTCTTACCAAGGAATATTAGTACCTTGACAAGGATTCGAACCAGGAATCACCTGATCCACAGTCCGCTGAAATACCCAGCAGACCACAACACCTCTAATTTCAAAATTATGATTATTTCATCTTGAAAGGTTTCTTGTCTGGTCAACACGCATAGTCAATCAAGTTGTCAAGGCAACACTAAACGCCATCAACGAGGAGGTAGTGAGACCCATCTATGCTGAGGGGATGTTCAATGAGGAATGTGCTGATGACACCAGTAAGATACTTACTTATAATTGTGTTTCGTTGTGAGTCGGGCCTTTTTTTATTGTCACGTCGACATTGTGAACTGCGACATAAAAACTTTAATCTGACGATCTGCGCACGTACGCGCCTTGTTATCTCCCTGTCCATACTACCATAATCGAGAACGCGTCCACCCCCCTCCCACTCCGTGAACGGAGGGATACCATGCGTGTTCCCTAAATGTCCGGTAAAGGAGTACTTTTCACGCACCAAAGTCCGGCTCGTAGTACACAAAAATCCGGCTCGTAGTACACACAAATCCGGCCCGTATTGACTTAACACACCGGACTTAGGGGAGTGTTTTCAAGAGGACGGAACATGCATATGCGTACCTTAAATAACACTGGGGGGGGGGGGGGGGGGGGGGCGTCCACCTCTGTTTTAACGATCAGCTCAAACTAAAACGCCGTTCTGTATAGTACGTACCTAACTATCTGTTCCAGTAGAAGTCAGTGGTACCGGTTCGTGTTCTGACCACATTGGCGCGGGCGTGAGGAATGGATATGACGAATGGGTCACATCATCTTGTTGACTGAAATGCCCGGGGGGTCGCCGCCCGGGCACTGACCTAATCGAGCGTTCGCCTTCGAGCGATATAAGTCAAAAATCGAAGCTGCGAGGTCAAAGGCTGCTGACCGATTTTGAACTCGCCGCCCTGTGACCGACCGATCTCCCAGCGACGAACGGGCAGTAACTGGGCGGCGACCGTTCAGCAGCCTTTGACCTAGCAGCTTTGATTTTTGACCTAAATCGCTCAACGGCGAACGCTCGATTAGGTTGCCCGGCCACCGAGCGTATTTTGGGCAGTGAGTGAAAAGTGAGCAGGCGCCGCCGAATTTTAACTCCGCGCTAAAACTTCAGCAGTGACCGAGGGATGCCCTAAAAACAAGTGGTGCCCGGGCGAAATTGGCTAAAAACTCGCCGCCCGGCCGCCGAACAGGCTACTTTTGGGGTTGTGACCATAGCTTAACTGGGTGAACACGCGCTCTGGACGTAGACGGCGTTCTCGTCGACACAATCGAAAAGGCCTTATTTGCTACGGTAGGACTGTGTCTTTGACTCGCCAACCTAAGAGTCACCGTGTCCAAAAATGAATGCAAAGTTAAAGATAAACTTGAGTTCTGGTAAAAAAAGAAAATGAATTTTCACAGAATCTAACGAAACTTACACTGAATGTTCAAGATTACAAATAAATGTCATGTGCCAAACAATTTTGGAAGAAATTGTATACTGGCTGAGTAATGAGCATAGAAAGATAAGGAAATCAGGGTAGTACTAGCCCCGACACCATGTGTGTTGTCCCATATACATCTTTCTGTGTAAGTGATTGTTACTTTAACAAGACTCTGCCAAATTTATGATGATTTTGATGACTCCAGAACCTTGCATTACACACCATTACTTGCATGCTATTATGATCAATTTTTCTGATCCATTCCACACCTTTTCTTATACAATGCAATCTCATTACCGGTACTCAAGTTTATCTTTAAGGGTTTAAATGTTGTATTTTACTTTTTGGCACGCTAACGGATTGCCTTAATAAAGGAAATGATTAATGCAGAGAAGAAAACAAAATAATGCAAATAGGATTACACCTCATGTCTGCAACGGGCATTAAGTTATTTGACAATCAAAGATCCCTCCCGTAGATCCCATAACATACAGCTTAGCAATGGATTGTGCTATTGATTTTTGCGATTGATTGCATTGATCACTATGTGCAATCGATCTTAAAACTCAATCGTACACTTACTCAGGTTTGTATAGTGGGGCACTGATCACCGAGCACCAGATATACGTGGTAAATCTAGTGACGACACCTTAAGTTTGTCGTCACTTCCATATTTTGTAACCATTATGTAAGATATTTCAATTCAATTTTTTCAATTCAGAACTTTATTTCAGACTCAGCTGCACAAGGCAGTGGTCCATAAAACATATGTTACATATAGATAGGGATAATAGCGGAGTATGAACATGATGAGTATAATAACAAATCGCACAAATACTAAAGAATATAACAAACTAAAAAAAAAATTTAAAAAAAATCTATACTACGTATATACAATGTAACTGTAACATGTAACCTGTATCTGTAAAAATTGATAACAGAAGGCCTATAGCAATCTAACTCTAGTCTAAGCTGTACCTGTAACTGCAATATTAAAATAAATATATGTATAACAAAGTGAAGTTGTAACTTAATTGTAACAATCTCTGCTCACTAACTAGAACAATTAATATACTAATAATAGATAACTAGATATTATAACAAGCAACAAGGACTATGGACTATACTGCAACCATAAGAGGCTGGATAATCCTTGGTAACATCATGCAAAATATGATCAATTCCGAGGTGTAAGCAGGCTTTTAAGCCAAAATTTCCAGAGGCCCGATGTGTACCTAAGACTACTATACGAGGGGTTCACTAACATCTTTAAAATACTATTCTCAGAGACATCCACTCTCTGGATGAACTTATACATAAGATTTCGTAATACAGCCGAACAGGCTGGAACATTCAACTCAGCAAACATTTGACTAGCACTAAAGTATCTAGGTACCCTAAGAAGCATTCTCATGGCATCATTATAGGCCACAGTAAGCCTGTGTAAACTGCTCTTCTTAAAATTACTCAACAGATGCGCAGTGTACAAATTAAGGTGTACAGTATGCCCTAAATAATGCCACCTTCACGTCCGGAGAACACATATGAAATTTCCTAACGAGCATATTACCTTGAGCATATAATTTACGACAATGTCGGCTAATATCTTTATCATCACAAAGGTCCTCAGTAAAAAAAAAATGACCAAGATACATGACCTCTGTACATACATTGAGTTTAGCTCCACATAAATAAAAATCCGGGAATACCAATCTACGGTGTTCCTTACATCTAATTATCATAACAAGACTCTTTTTTGCATTATATTTGACATCATTATCATATCAATAATCAGAACAAATCTTGAGCAAACTCTGCAACCCAGCAGTTGACGGGCTAATAATAACGAGGTCATCTGCATACATTAAATGATTGACTACTATACTGCCAACTACACAGCCTTTTTTACAAGCATTCAAATTGTCGGATAGACCATCCATGTACAGGTTAAAGAGAAAGGGAGAAAGAATACCTCCCTGTCTAACCGTCCATTACTGACATGGAATGGTTCAGACACACTACTTCCCCATCTAGCCATCATTGTTTGATGGGTATACCAAAACACGAGTATCCTAATCAGGTACTTAGGAATACCTCTATCAGCCATTTTCGTAAACAGCTTTTCATGATTTACCCGATCAAAAGCTTTGGAAGCATCAAGAAAACAAAGAAACAAGGAAGAATTTCTGCTACGATAACTTGCAATAATTTCCTTCAGAGCAAATATACACATGTCAGTGCCATGTTTGGCTTTAAAACCGAACTGGTTATCTTTAGTAAGAATATACATCTCTTACCTACCAAGCAATATCTTTTCCAGCACTTTGGACAGGACACTAGCCAATGCTATAGGTCTATAGTTGTCCTTACTAGTAATGCGACCAGCTTTATTTTTAATGACCGGCACCAAAACAACGGAAAACATACTATCTGGTAAGATACCATGAATCAAAAATCCGGAAATGCACATTGCAAGCAAGGGCATGAGTTTCGGACTTGCAAACTTTAAATGTTCAGCTGTTATAGTATCAAGACCACATGACTTATTGTCATCTAATTTTCTAATAGCTTCTTTAACCTCCTCAGGAGAGATAACCATATTTACATCAAAGTCAACATTAGTAACACCTGCACCGTACTCTGTACACAATTAAACAAATCCTTATAATGGCTACACCACAATTCACTTATTTTTCCATCACCAGAGATACCTTCAATATTAGTTGGAAGAGGCGCTTTACTATTATTAACACATTTAATTTCTTTCCAAAATTCATAATAACTTTTACCCTGCAATTTACGAGCAACAGAGTCCGCCCGCATGACTTTCTCATTATTCTTAATAAAACGGAGAGCATACTTGAATCGTGCATTGGCCCTCTTTTTTAGCTCAAATAACCGTCCATGTCTGTTTTTGCCAGCTTCAACCCAGAGTAGGTGAGCCTCACGAGCAGCAGAGTGGAGCTCTGACACATGCTCATTCCAGACAGGCCTAGTATTATGAACCTTGTTTTTACAGTGATATAGAGATTCACTAGCATCACATAAGCATTTCACAATATCATCATATGTATTACATACATAATTAACATGGTCATTGTTCACACAATTGGAATCTCGACATAAAAAAGCATCGTGTGCATGTACATTGATTCCCTCAAGCAATAAATCAGTATCACGGCAATAATTATTCCTACGATTTATATCAATCTTAGTCCAATCTAGCCTGCCTTTATGTACAGTGTTAGCCATGCCTGAATCACGTTGCCCAGGCAAATTGTCAATATCAATTGATAAATTAATAGGAATATGATCAGTTGTAGCAAATCTATACATAATTTCCATCTTCTCTATAGAGGCATTAGCATCTGCTGTACATATACAATGATCCAACCATGACGTGGTATGCCATGCTTCACTAACATAAGTGTAACTATCTGCAGGTAAATAATGCAGACTTGATAACACAAAATTATTATCACAACAATATTGTCTCAAATGATTTCCAAATAAGGAACTATTGTCAGATATGTCTGCGTTCCAATCACCTACCACATAAACACTGGTAGTGTCTAACTCAGAAATAACCGCCGCAATAAATGCTATTTTCTCAAGATAATCACTTTCATTTTCAGGACACTCATAAGGAGTGTATATATTAATGATGACAAATTTCTTATCATCAATTTTAAATTCAATCCCTACAGCCCAATCAACATTTAATCTAACTTCACTAATTAAGTGTTCATATCTAGTGCGCCAGAGTATAGCCACCCCACCAGGTATACGACCCCGAACCAGACCATTTCTGAGATCTGTAGTAGATTTACCAATACCATGATATAACGAATATAAAGAGTTAATTCCATTTAAATCTTGCTTAGCTAACCAAGTTTCTTGAAGACAGATGATGTCTACCTCATCCTGAAATAGTTTTTCAATGACAAGACGACGAGATTTCTCTGCACTGCTCTGCCCAAGACGCAGCCCACGACAATTATAACTAACACAATTGAACTTAATTTAAAAAGGGTAGCATAATCCAAGCTAGGGCTCTCTCTGGCTCTTCTCTTCGAGTATTGAATGACGCCTGCTCACAGGTCCAGAAGACTCTAAAAGTGTCACAGACCCCTGCTTCCGAGGCTCATAGAACCTCCTAACGAAAATACCACCTGGCCAGATATCAGGTGCATACAACTCATTGACTTCATTGCATAAAGCGGTAACCTGGAACGATGAGAAACGGGCATTCTCCTTTTCTATCTTTCGACACTTAACAGAGTCATTCAGCCTTTCTTGGTACTCCTGTAGTATGGTAGAATCAAGATCAGGGTCGAACCGAGTAGCAAAGACATTGACCTTCTTAGTCTTGACAGCTTGTATTTTCCCTACAGTGGCTGTCCCCACTATACCCGGCTTCTTTTTGGGCTGTGGCCTTTCCTGGGGTTGTTTTTGGGCCTGGCTAGAGTTGGGCTCAATATAAGGGGTCTTACGTTTCCCACCCCGACGTACCACCTGGGTCCAAAGATTCTCACTCCGGACTTCTTGTGGTACTCGGTACAGTAGACATGGTGGGCGTGGAACTATAGAAGCTTCTTGCACCGTAGAGATAGCCGACACACGTGAATCCATCTCGGATGTAACTAGTTGAATATCCTCAGTAACTTTTGCCTGGCACATAACAGATTTCTTCATTGCTGTCATTTCACCCTCTAGTTTCTGAAGTCTTCCCAGCAAGGCTGACACACCGAGGCTGTCAAAACTAACAGGCGGGAGCCTGTTCAGGTCCTTTGCAACGAAAGTCGGAGCCTTGTCACCACATTCGAGAAGCAATTTAATCATTGCTTTAACATTATTAATGTCCTTTGTAGGGCCTTTGTGCAAAATATTCCTCTGGGTACCAAAATCACCACATGCATCAATCAGGGCCTTTTTGGATTCCTCAATTTCTTCCGACTTAAAGGAAGACGTAATCAGGCTAACTATCTCATCAGTAGAGATCGTGTCCATTTAAGGGCGCGTTCATGCTTGATTTTGAAGGCAGAATGAGCGATTTGTAACGCTCATCGTAAACGCTCATCGTAATCGCAGTTCCACGGTGCACTGTTCGTGCTCACTTCTCCAGGCAATTCTCCTTGGGTGGCCTTCAGCTTGGATTCGCAAACCTGTGTGCGCATGCTACGTAGGCCCACTAGAGGTCAGTGCGTTGACCCCATTTAAACGCGTTTACAAATTGTAAACGCATCTTTTTGTGAGTTTACGATCGGCGATCGTGATCGCCGTTTTTCGGTGATTCTACAAAAGTGAGCATGAACGCAATCGTGTTTTAAACTAAACGCGTAACAGATGCCTGATTCTGGCCGTCAAAATCAAGCATGAACGCGCCCTCATTTGACAGAAAACATAACAGCTCATCTACAATAAACACAGCGCCATTAGCTGCTTTTATCACTTCAGATCTGACATTCTTCCTGCCATGGCTGAGCAATAAAATCAAGGTTATCCAGTCTACAGCACAGACCGAGTCATAAGTAGTATATACTGCCTTGAGCTGTGTATCCACACATTGTGTATCCACACAGAAAACAGCATGAGTGGGTCTACACTCATAAAACATTACACATTTGAAATTGGAGTGTACCCAATATTGAATGATATTTTACCTCTCAAATATGAATGATCCCTTTATTCCAAATATATTGGGTACACTTTTATAGAGTATATGAGCATGGCAATTATTTACTAAGAATCATTTACTAAGTCTATGGCATATATTTATGATATATATGTATATTCTTTTTTTTTTGAAGGGGAGGGGTAGTTTTGAGGCTTTTATATCGGTCAAAATTGCCAGAAAGAACCGTTGAATAGAAAAAAGGGTAATAGCCTTATTCACAAATTGTGTGTAGCGTGCATTACTCATCTAATATTTGTTCTCACTATTTCTTCTACCAGCCCGCTTGTTTTACTACACGAAACAGACTGAATTAGGCGTCACGAATTTAGACGGGAGTGGGGATAGAACCATCAAATTATTCTCCGACCAAACAACGGGTAGTTCCCTCAGCAAGTACGGCAGCAGGCTGTTCTGGTCAGCTCGGTCATATTCGCCGAGTTATACGGGCTTGATCAACGAGTATGATATGAAGTCATCAACTCTTACGATTCACAACAGTACGGTGACATTGTTAAACGGCGACGAGCTTGTCATCAACCCTGTGACTACTCGGATCATATCACACAGTAAGACGCCTGTGGTTCAGGCCGCGTCAGGGCCCCGTTTCACAAAACTTGATATCAATAACAAGTCACAAGCTACTGTTATTAGCTACTGAAATCATGGCATGTGATTGGTTGAGAGCAAATTTGTCATAGAAATTTAGCATTTGTTATAGATAAACAGTGTTATGAAACGGGCCCCAGATCTCTGGATAAAAACATGATTATACAAATGACACTATTTTTGAGAGCCATTAACCTTTGGTGTTTTAGAATATAACTTTGCTATTTCATTTTTTCTCCACTGTATCTGCCTGTCTATATTATTTTAAGAAACACAAAACAGATAACATGAATCAACAAATTCTCAAGTTAGTCTGTTTAATGAGAACTCTTCTGAGTATGCGCAACTCTTTGCGCAGCCAGGTGGCATTATTATTTATTTATTCATTATTTTTTCAACAGGGTAGTTTCATTCAGTTCCATGCACTGGAAGCCAGTGGACCTGCTTTTCAAGAAAGCCCCGCATCTGTGTGCAATAACACTGTAAAAACATAAAAACGATAATGCAATAATTAACAATTGCACATACATGTGAAATATCAAATTAATCATATATTTTATATCATATATCTATTATTAATTATTCAAAAAAATTGAACAATATTGAATTATTACACTAAACTAGACCACGCCTAAAACAAAAACAAAATAAATAAAATAGAAATAAGTAATTATAGCAGGAATAGAGTGCAGTAGGCCTATTGTACTTTGTAAAGTTTACAACAAAATTACAGAGTTATACACTGTTGGTCATAATGGTGGAATATTTATTTTTACCCCAGTTTAGGGAAGGATTTAAAAAAATTATTAATTTCTAATAGATCTAGATAATGGCATACATTCTCAGATGTTATTGAATATTAATTTGCGAGTGTTTGTTTTGCGTGACTGCTTAATCATATGTGTGCTACTATGCTAATCAGCTAAGGGACCTACGTCCAAAGTCATAATTTACAGTAATGAGGATTAATGCCTCACAAAAGGGTACTAATATATAGCTGATCGACACGATTTTTATACTGGGGCCTCACAGTAACGAGGCCATTGCTTAGCCCCTGAATCATGACTGTACGCAGCGATTGCTAGGGTACGCGGCCCCTTCCACAAATCCCCTAAAACGAAGAAAATGCAATAAATTGTCAAAAATTCATTGCATTTTCCCCCGACCCCCAACAGGAAAAATTCCTCTGTGTGGCCATGCCTTGAGCCATAATGCATGGCCCTACAGAGGAATTTTTCCTGTTGGGGGCCGGGGGAAAATGCAATGAATCTTTGACAATTTATTGCATTTTCTTCGTTTTGGGGGATTTGTGAAAGGGGCCGAGTACCCTAGCAAACACTGCGTACAGTCATGATTCAGGGGCTAAAGAATGGTCTCGTTACTGTGAGGCCCCAGTATAAAAATCGTGTCGATCAGCTTTATTAATGCCCTTTTGTGAGGCATTAATCCTCATTACTGTCAATTATGATTTAAGGACGTAGGTTTCCTAGCTGATTAGCATAGTAGCACACATATGATTTAGCAGTCACGCAAAACAAACATTCGCAAATTAATATTCAATAAAATCTGAGAATGTATGCCATTATCTAGATCAATTAGAAATAAATAATTTTTTTCAATCCTTCCCTAAACTGGGGTAAAAATAATTATTCCACCATTATGACCAACAGTGTATAATCAGTTGTTTCTGAAATATATGGAAAAAAAAGACGTAGCGTAATTTAGCTTTAAATTTGCATCCATTGGCTTTGCATCAGTTAGGGTTAGTTTTAGGGTAGGGGTTAGGGTCAGGGTTGTGGCCAGTGGCGTACGCAGGATTTTTTCAAGGGGGTGGTTTTAATATTTTGAAATCGGGCCAAAAATTCGCAACGACTCAGCCAGCCGCTGAATAAGCGGGGGGGGGGGGGGGGGGGGGGGGGGGTAAGAGGACACATTTTTTTACGGGGGGGGGGGGTCCCAAAACAAATTGCAACGTCTCAGCCGACCGCTGAATAAGCGGGGGGGGGGGGGTAAGAGGGCACTTTTTTGGGGGGTCCCAAAAAAATCGCACCGACCCCTTCCCCCCTGCGTACGCGCCTGTACTTAACGCGAAGACCGCGCTTTACATGGGGGTGTTTCACAAAGACTAAGATTAACTATGGCTGGCCATTCATTCACCTGGTTGCTCTCACCATAATGATCTTTTGATTACAATTTTTTCCTTCATTAAAGAATTACTAAATAAATAAAATTCTGTTAAATTTGTGACCATGATTTGTACGTCTCTTAAGAGACTGATACTACTGTAGTCAATGGTGAGATCAAACAGTGGCATGAATGGCCTGCCATAGTGAATTCAACTTAAAATCGATGTTATTCTTTGTGAAACACCCCCTGGTATTAATAAAAACATAAAAGCTAGACAGTTCTTTGTTTAAATAGTGAAATCGGATAACTATTATACAGGATATCCTTGAAAAAGAAAAGTAAAAGTTAAATGGTAAATTAATCAATAATTCAAAATTACTTTTTTATTACTGAAAACCTAAATTAAAAACCTTAATTTTGTCTTCTTTCATACAACACCAAAATATAATCAATAAATCACGCATGACCGATTTCAGACACTCAAAGAGGCGATGTTGGAAATCAAATTGACCCAAAAAAGGCAAATGGCTGTTTCATTTACTTAATTAAGTCTTTTGAAAGAATTAATTGGGACGATAATTTTTGTTTGATACACGTCATTCAAAAGCTCTATTGTATTATTTCGTATGATACGATGATTTTAAATTGAAAGATCATGCATAACTTAATAGCCACAATTTGTTATTGGAAATGCACATTGACATTTGTTTAGCAGCCTCTATCACTTCTTACAAGAAAATGTCAATGTGCCTATAATCAGTTGCAAACTAGGATACCTGCTTATAAGTCTTATGTGGACCTTCCATCATGATTATGGTCTCGTATGCGCTTGAAAGAAATGATGGTATTTTAAGCAATTATTAATTCAAAAATCATTCCATATGTTTTCAAAACCAAAATAAACCAAACGAATCAGCCATCCACTTATTTAGGACAATTTGGTTTCTAAAACTGTCACTCTATGCTGTATACAATTAATAATGCGTGACTTATTGTTGAGGGTTTTGACGGTATATGATTACTAGAAAATAAACTTTCCAATCACATACACATTTAACTAAATATCATTTGGAATTATAGAATAATTCACGCGTAAACTTGTTTTTTTTTTTTTAGGTATTATTTAATTAGATTCGACGATTGATATTAAAGCCATGTATTTTATTTAACAGCTCCATATAATGAACCCGTTGCCATCGAGGGTTGCCCTGACAACATCGTCGTGAACATCGACGAGAACGCTTCGAATGCGTCATCGATCTCATGGACCGAGCCCGGACTCAACAGCTGGTCCAGCTGTCCCACAATGGTCTTCCAAGGAACAGGGACGAATGGAGGAGATTTCTCTTTGGGCATAACCGAGCTGCACTATCAGGCCCATGATGCGGCAGGAAATATAGATGATTGCCAATTTTCGGTGACAGTGCGCAGGTTTAGTGGTCAGTTATCTTTCTCACACTATGAATAGTATTTCATTTCATTTATTTTCCATTAAAATTCAAAATAAAATACATATCAAATTAACAACAAAATCGGAAGGACCCCAAGAAAAGCAAAGCTTGTGAGAATGGGGCCCTGTACAAAAGTAATCATACAAGCAAATTATTATAACAAATATTGTAAAACTTATAAAAACAAACATACACCCACCCTCATTCATTCACATGCATACAGACACACCAACACACACCGCAGGCAGAACATTGTACAGAAGAAGGAAGAAAAAAAAAAGAAAAAAAGAAAAAAAAAAAAAAAAAAAAATCTACTCAGTGCACTTCATTTGATTTAAACAAGAACTGTTTACATGAATATTTAAACTTTGATAGGGTTGAACTACTTTTTAAATTATAAGGTAAGGAATTCCAATCATGTATACCCTGGAATCTTAAAGTGTGTTGGGTCAAGGAAGTACGTACAAAGGGGTAATGATAGTTTGATTTATTTCTGGTTTCGTAAGAATGGTAAAAAGAATTTGTTTTAAACATGCTATTAAATATTGATGGGAGCTCATGTTTATGTAATTTGAACATGAAGACTAAATTGTTTAATTTTATGAGGTCAAAGACTGGCAAACATTTTAAATCATAAAACAAAGGAGCACTTGAAGTCAAATAGTTAGAATTAGAAATTATACGAACAGCACGTTTCTGAAGAATATGAATTTTATATAAATGAGTCTTGTAAGTATTACCCCAAATGATATTACAGTAGTTGATATGCGGTAAAACAATACTGTTGTAAATAGTTAATAATATATGTTTCGGCAACGTCTTTTTAAAGAATGACATGATACCAACCCCCTTGAAATTTTTGAACAAATATGGGTAATATGGTGGCACCAGTCAAGTGATTCATGAAGTTTGATACCTAAGAATTCAACAATATCAGTTTTCTTAAGAACATCATCTTTAATACTCACCGGGGCAACATGACTAGGAATCCTTTTTTGTTTAGAATGAAAATATTATCATCATTATTATCATCATCATTATCATCATTATTTTCATTTTTGTTATTATTGAATTTTTAAAGATTTTGATTATCATATGATCATTAATTATCATGATTAATATATTTTATTATTATGATTTAGATCATATTTATTATTGGCATTACTATTGTTATTTTTGTCATCATTATTATTATTATTATCATAAATATCATTGTTGCTGTCGTTGTTGTTGTTCTTCTTAAGATTATTGATTATTTTATCATAATGATTAGCTGCTTGCATGAATGAGGTGAACCCCCCCCCCCCCCCCCCCAACAAGATTGTTATGGAAAAGCAGTATTAGGTTATTCTTTAGGTGTGCAACAATCGATCATTTCAGGTGATGTGTTTGCAAAATAGAATTATTATAAGTGTTGGTTGAATGCCGGTCCAAATCCAGCATTGTCCTGACGCACTATTGAAGTCATTCAAGTGTCGGCTAGGTAAAGCAGTAGTCCTTACTATGTGGTGCAAAATTATATACTTTCCTTCTAAATTAGTATTATTATAGTATTAATGACTGCTTTGAGAGAAATAGTTGTTTTTATACGCTCAAGGGAAGGTTAGAATTGTGTTATTACCCGAGGCGTGCCGAGGGGAATAGCCCAATTGTAACCTTCCCGAGAGCGTATAAAAACAACTATTTCTCGAATATTAAAGCAGTCATTAATACTTTTATATGCCGAAAAAAAATAGACTAAAAAATAAAAAATAAAAAATACTTTTTTTTTTGTCGAAGGTGAGAGTCGAACTCTTGCATACAATGAGTGATGTATATTACACCAACGCCTTACACCACTCGGCCATCGCGCGCTGTTCACATGCTTGGCAGTTTTGTACAATATATACATTAAAATGGATTGAAACCGGCTTCGGCGTGATGAATGCTTCGCAAAAGCACCCTTCTTTTACTTTTGCAATGCATATTGGCACGAACTTAGATCAAGATCTATCGGCAGATGTTGTTTTTTTGTTTTTGGAAGTTTATTTTCGTCTTCATGTCAACAATGCAAGATAAAATTGTCGGTAAGATCGATCGAGATTCAATTGTATTGAAATTACCGACCAATCCTTCGCACACATACGGTATCCTCGATCGCTCAAACCATTTTTTAACATGTAAACCTATGGGGTAACCATGGAGGCTAACTTTTTTTTTTAATAACCATGGTTATTAAAAATATTAAATGTTTTATGCATGGTTACCGGGAATTTTACAGGAACAGTTGAAGTTTATGAATGCAATTTCGACCAATCAGATGGCTGGATTACTTAAGTGAGGTATATAATAGTAATTATTTGTTTATTAGGTGGTCTGTCGTAGACAGATCACCTATTGATTTCGTCAGAATTTTCTTTCTTCTATATTATTCTTTATTCTTTATTTTTATTTCTCCCTATTTTTTGTTCCGACGATAACTCAAGATCGGTTCAGTTAATTTTGGCACAGTCATAGGTCATTGTCATGAGACCTGGCAGGAACATGTTCAAGGTCATCAAATTATCGTGACGTCATCCAGGCGCCATTTTGTGAAATCACATTATCCATCATATCTTCATGATGCGTACTCAAAGTTCATTCATATTTATATCAGATATACTTCAGGTCAAGGGTCAACAGGTCGTGTCATCAAAGGTTAAACAAATATCATGACACGCGCGTACGCGCGCGTCAAATTTTTAAATTGCTAAAAATACACCAGTTTACAGTTGTATCAGTGCACATGCGCAGACATGGGCGCCATTTTAAATGGTGAGTAAACAAAGCCAATAACCTAGAGGTCATGTATTTATGCGTAAGTTAAGATTGCGCCTATGCAAATGATGATGATATCACTGCCTGCGCGCTGCGTTGTGCGCGCATATCATCAATTGCATAGGCGCAATCTTAATTTACGCATAAATACCATTGACCTCTAGGTCATTGGCTTTGTTTACTCGCCAATTAAAATGGCGCACACAACTGTTAACTGGTGTATTACTTAACTATTAAACGAGAGTACGAATCAGATCATTTTAAGCATTTCAAAATTTTCCGCCCGTACGTGTCCCCGCGCGCGTTGTGCGCGCTCACACCGCTCGAAAAAGATCAAATCAAATTTTTTTTACATGAATTAGATTCCTCTTACCGTAATTGACAATTTACATAAATTTCAGTCACTCTTGACCTTTTATAAGGCCATGAGCGCGCGTCAAAGTTCAAAATCCGCGCGTGCTGCTATGGGCAATATAATGCAAATCTGATCAAAAACATGCCATTTTAAAAAACAAAATGGCTCTTCAGATAGTCCGTCGACCCCCAATTGTTATATCATGGTTGAAAAAAGCATGATTTGGAGATAAAATTTCATACCACCCTAACTCGTACAAAGTGAAACAAAGTCTTCATATTGGCATCTAAACTAAAAAAAAATGTATTTTGTTAATGACGTCATTTTTGTCTTTGTTTAATTGAGATTATCTCGCTTATCGGTGATCAATTTTCTCCCAGATTTCGATATGTTGTAGCTGAGGTAATTCTCTATCAGAAGTATGTCATTTATTTTTCTTTTAGATGACGTCATCATAGTTAAATATTCGATTAAAGGCGACAATGCATAATTTGTTATATATTTGCGTGTTATGTCTATGGGAGGTCATTTTTTCAAAACATGAATCTGCATGACAATGTGTTTTGACCAGTATCTCGATTATTATTCAACAGTTTTCTCCCAAATTTTAGTATGTTGTAGCTGAGACTATATGCTATCTAAATATTTCCTCATTTTTTCAAACAGATGTCAGGATCATGCTCATGCTCATCATCATCATTAACATTATCGTTTTTATCATCATATAACATCATTATCATCATCACCTTTACTATCATGATCATGATTGTTTACATGTCTATATAACTTCTCCCATTCTCAAATCTATCATAAGAAGTGAAGACAGACCACCTAATTCGTCACCATGACGAATTAAATTTCTAGTTAGGTGGTCTGTCGTAGACAGATCACCTGTTTTCGTCAGAATTTTCTTTCTTTATTCTTTTTTATTTATTTCTTCACACTTTTTTGTTCACATGATAACTCAAGATCGGTTCAATCAAATACCTTCAATTTTGGCACAGTCATAGGTAATTGTCATGAGACATGACAGTAACATTTTCAAGGTCATCAAATTTTCATGACGTCATCCAGGCGCCATTTTGTGTTTTTTTTGGTACCTGTTACTCATGATCATATCTTCATAACGGAAAAGCATTTCTCATTCATATTTATCATGATTAAGGTCAATATCCGTCCGGTCAATTTCAGGTCAAAAAACGCGCGCTCATGCGTACGTCCGCGCGTTAGCACGCGCGCAAAAAATAAAAATGCTCCAAATCGTTTTAAATTAATTTTGCATACGTTTCAGGCCATTTTAAGCGTTTCGCAAAAAAACGCGCACACGTGCATGCGCGCGCGTTTTCGCGCGTACTGGTATTTTTCAACATAAAATCGCCAAATTTTCTCTGTCATCATATTTGGCACATGTTTCCAAGCATTTTGATACCTTGTTCACCTTTTTCTGCCCATTAATAACGGAATGAGCGTCCGTTTAAGATAATTTCCGTGCGTGCGAGCTCTTGTAATACATAGCGTACATGGGCAAAAACATGCCTATACAAAATCCATTGTAGCGCTTTAGGATGGAAGGTGAAACCAATTTTTTTTCCATATTTTGATATAGTATGAATTGGAGATATGATTTCATGTCTCATTTGACCCTCAATTAACTCATGACGTCATCATAATGGCCTCCCAACTCAAAATTTCAATTTGCATATTATGACGTCAGCATATTTCTGGAAAATTGACTGTATCTCTGTAAAAATTGATCAATTTTCTTCCAAATTTTAATATGATCTAGCTTAGACAATTCTCTACAAATGCAGTTGACACAATATTTCATTTTGATAAAGGTATCATGGCGTTTTTTGCGATTAAAGGTGGCATGTCAATTTTTCACATTTTGCGTGTATTCTCTATGGGACATGACTTTTTCTGAAAACTGGATTCTACATTCCCGTCTTTCACGAGCAATGTCTCCGTCGTCTTAGCTTCGTTTTCGCTGAGCATCGAGTATGTTGTAGCTGAGACAATAAGCTATCACAAGTGTTTCATTTTCTTCTCGATCAGATGTCGGGATCATGCTCATATTTCACTTGCAAAGTGGGATTTGAGAATTTTATTTTCCGTTTACGTGTAATCGCTATGGGAAATGTTTTGGTATATCGGTAACGCACTTGACTTCGGACCTCAAGATCCCTGGTTCGAGTCCGGGAGTCTCCAACAATTTTTTTTCTTCATTTTTTTTTCTTTTTTGACTTTTCAATGATCATAAAATTGAAAACAGACCACCTAATTCGTCCCTATGACGAATTAAATTTCTAGTTTATTTTTATTTTCTTGGTATTTGTTGTTTTCCCATGTTCACGCGCAAAAGATTGCTAGCCTTCAAAAAGGAAGGGTTCCAACCAATTATGTCCATACAGTGCGTCCCGGAAAAAAAAACCCCGAGAATTATCGATGTTTTATCATAACTTAATAATAAGTAACACATATTTGTAAAGCTTAGATCTTCCTCTTTCATTTGATGCATTATATGATGCATATTTCACGCATGAGTGATTGAAAACAATCTAAAGGTAATTTTGCAAACGGTATCTGACTTTCAAAGAGAAAATCACATTTCCAGAAAGTTCATTTTCTGCTGTTTTATATGACACCTCAATCAGTCAAAAATGAGCCAGGAATAACAAAGTTCTGTTCGTTTAAAGTTATGCTTGTATTTCCATTATTTATTCAACGAATTCTTTTCTCTAACTGCCACCCGTAGAAACAAACAAGAAACTCCAAACTTTTAAAAACCCATTATACTGGATATTTAGATATACATTCAATTTCATAACTTTAAACCATGTAAATGTATTATATTATTGAATATGGAATTATATATCTAATTTCTTGTCAAAATCACTGTTCCGTTGAAAAGGGAGAAAAAATGAAACTGAAACTGAAACTGAATTATAATTGTGATTAAGATATGATAAAACATCGATAATTCTCGGTTGCGTGTTTTCTGGGACCAACTGTATATCGTGTATTTGGGTGTTTTTCACTATTCAACGTGTGAAGATTGGCCCGGTTATTATATTGGTTCCATACGGTGATGACGCAATAGTCCGGTAGAAGTTTTTCAGACCTGGTTTCCTGGATTAAGATAAGCAAAATTATTACATACTGCACATATATGCTAATTAGATGATTATGCCAATTAGGCTAATTATACTACATCTTCACGGAATATCTTCTTATAAATTAATGATTAGTCTTTCAAAAGTGATTTACATTGTTGCATTGCACCATTTTTAGGCTTTATAGATAAACAATGACAATGAAGTCCATATATTGTACATAATTATGCTAATTATGCTATTTAAGACAATTGTATTACTTTAAAATAAACAGCGGTGTCATAAATGAATTCCTTGTCATAGAGAACCCTTGAAAAGTCATATTATCCATGTTTTCAGGCTTCCAGGATTGAGATTGGCAACATTATTACATATTGCACATATGCTAATTAGATGAATATGCTAATATGGCTATTAAAAAAGTTGCCCAAGGTCGCCAAGCTGGCAACCTAGCTGAATTTACTTCAATACCCATCTAGAACACAAATCAACAAAAAATCCTTATACTTATCAACTTTTCCAGGTCATGCACATGGTATATGGTACCGTCTCCTGGACTACAAACCCTCAGATAGTCTTTGACTCTATTCTGAATGAGTTGAATTTCGACCCCATCCCCGCACGTTCAATTTAAAATTACATCTTCAAGATCATTTTGAGTGAATCTATCATTTTTCATTGAGTCTTGATGGAAAAGGTAATACTGCCATTAAATTTGTTTTGTTTGGTGTGTTGTTTTTTTTTTTTTTTTTTTTTTTTTTTTTATCTTAGTGCAATGTCGAGAAGAAATAGTGATGGAAATGTGGACACGAACAAATATGTGTACTCAATTTTGTACGCAATAATTAAAGTCACGTGTGGTTTGCTTTTTAATTATTTTCATTTTCTTGCTATATAATATTGTTTCTTCCCACGATCTCAGCTTCATACATGCACGCACAAAAGATTGCTGGCCTTCAAACAACAAAGGATTCCCATCCAGATGTCTATATTATCGGGTATTTGGGTGTTTCCCACTATTCAACGTGTGAAGATTGGCGCGGTTATTATGTTGGTTCAATAATGGTGATATGACGCAAACCCTCAGATAGTCTTTGACTCTATTCTTACTGAGGTGAATTTTGACCCCCCCCCCCTCCCCCCTTCATCACACTTTACAAAATCCACGCCTGCCGCGAACCTGCTTCAGATCGTGACTTGCCTTTTCCCTTTTAAGTGTCTCGCAACTTTTGAGACCAATTAGTTTGCAAAATTTGGCAATCTTTTGCGATGTCACACAACATTTCGGAGGCACATGTTCGGCCAAAAATGTAATGAAAATTTACGTTTTGCATACATTTGTCTACAAAATACTTTTTTTCCGAAAATATGACACTGTCAATTTTGTTTTGGGTTGGTTTTTCTTGATCTTGTATGTCTTCCCATTTTTATTCATTTCGTTTAGCCTACCTATCTCCACTATCCTAGAAGCTACAGGCTTCTAAAAAGTCCGAGAGAGGCTCTTTTTTAACATGTAGGAACGCGGACGGGCGTCAACTGATGCGATTGCAGTTCTAGTCTGTTCCACGAATGCAAGCTGTACCGCCTTCTTATAAGTTCATGTTTGACTCTTACTGTTTGCTTATTGGGGGGGGGGGGTGTAAACTGCCAATCCCCCTCCCCCTCCTAGATCCGCCCCTGGGGATGGTAGAGAGTGATTGAGCAAGGGAAAGTAAACTTAAAGCTTATTTAAAAGGCTGGTGTTTAATCAAGTTTTTTTTTTGTAATCGTTATAAAACTGACTAGAGGGACATCTCGAATGCTGTACAATTGGACTAGACGAAGTCCGCTGCCTGTATCGTTATAGCCACACTTTGGTTTTAGGACACAAAGCAGTAGATAATTAATGGCTCAAGAGCCTTGAGTGCATTTGAAAGAGAGTGTCCAAAATGCCTGAAATCAAAAGGTACCCTGTCAATGAATTCATATTACTGAATAAACAAACAAACATCGGCGGGTGGGGGGGGGGGGGGTTGTCTTCTAACGTGGGGCACCAACAAAAAAGGGGGGCACCTACAACGGAAAAACTGAATGGGAAAATATACAACTACTAGACATCGGTATTGTTATAGCCTTATCAGGGATGATTTCAATTTATATTTTTTGAATATGGTCCAAGATATTGCTTTGCAGCTGGGTATGATGGTCTGAATATTCATTTACAAACGATCCAAGCGAGTGGGCAATTAATGTATAGAATTGTGAGGTCGCAGCAGTGGGAAGAACAACATCATAGGAAGAGGAAAAAACAATCGTAATGGACTTTTAAGCACAATGAAATCATGACAGACTGATAAGGCCTTTAATAAGAAACAAAATTATATCAACTATAATTTTTCAAAACTTGTTTTCAAGCAAAAGTTTCTGGATTTATTGAAAAATCAAATACAAAATATTCACTAGCAGCCAGGAGCGGGGCGCCACATTACACTTTGATAGGAGTAATTAGAAGAATGGAATGTCACGTTAAAATAAAATGCAGAAAGTATCTAAATATCAAGTTGGAAGGTAGAAAAGAAAAAAAAAGGGAAATTGAAAATGTGTGCATGTTTCTGAGTGTTTTTAAATTAACATTACTAAAAACATTTCATGGTGCTGCTAGACCCATATTAAATGATTGAGTAGGAAAATGAGAACGAGCTTGTACGATACAGGCCGAATGGAGACATATGTTTATTTAGTGGGTAGATAATGAGATGTATGCAGTCATGTGTAAGTAGGGATTTATTAGTGAGTGGAAATAGTAGGACACTGCTAACGTTTATATTTCACAGATAGGACATACATTACATATTCTTAATTCCTGCAAAGTTCTACAGAATTTGATGTTGGCTGCAAAAGGGACATAATTTTGCATGATGCAACAAATTAAGCCCCCCTCCTCCACACTTTTTTGAAAGGCTGAAAGGCCGGAAAAACCCCAGGAAGTAGTACATGGTATTCACAAATATGCGCTGGACTGCTAACTGTATAAGTAAATCGCTGTATCACTCTCTTTGTGTGAGCTCGGTGTTAAGGACGTGCACATTATATTGAGCCATAGGATAAGATATTTTAAAGTCCTTGGAAGATTAAAATTGTTGTTACCTGTTTATTGCTTTTCAATCATATCATACATTTGTAATCTTTAAAATTATAAACGTTTCATTCAGAATCTGAAAGGTCTTTACCTTCGTACTTTCTGGTGCCACATCATTTGATAGAGCAACTGTTATCTCTAATTGTTTTCAGATGAATGTAATAACCGTTGTCTCAATGGAGCGAGCTGTGAGCAAGGCGTTTGCGAATGTCTAGCAGGATTTGATGGCGATATGTGTCAAGATAAGCGTAAGTATCTATAATATTTTGTTTGTGCTGGACGAATTCCTGTTCATGACTTAGCCAGAATGTTTGAACAACCCGTCTGCTTGAACACACACTCACACTCTCACCCGCACACCCATACACACCCTAATTATGGCAATTTTTGCTTCTGACACCTGAGATGAAATGAAAAGGGTGACGTAATTGACATTTTCTTTGCTCTTGACAATTCTCTTATACCAGTTACAGCTGTTGAGTGTGGAAGTACTTCAATGACGGTCAACGTAGATGCACGGCTAGTCCCAGGGGACGCATCTGGTGTTCATTTTCATAACCGATCCTGCAACGGTGTAATCAACGCTACCACTGATATCATCACTCTCACTACAGACTACAATGAATGTGGCACCATCTTAGAGGTAAGACTCCTTAAATGATAACTGGTATGAATCACCCTTGATCCCATGGCTACCATACCATGGGCGTGTGCATGATTTTTGAAGAGGGGATTTAAACATAATGTTTGGCTCCCAGTAGAGCGCAGCCCAACTGCGTTTAGTCCATGGGCAGCGCCTCAATATGTTTAATTTGAAGTTTGTTGCGACAGGCATGACATGCTGGCATAAATGCAATTCTGTTTACTTTCATTCAAAATATTCTTTTATTCTTTTAAATACCGATTGTCAAAGTCCCGGAATCTATCCTGCTGTGCATCCGATTCCGCAGTGTTGTTGACGTTTCTGTGTCTTTTCCTCTTCGTAAACTTAGGAAATATCATATGACGGTGATAATGTTTTTTGACATCTTATTCCGCTACGATGGCACTTGATATTAAAATCAATAAAGAAAGTGAATTTGATGCATAAAGAAGTTAACTATGCATTTTGTCCATTTTCACATCACATTAAACAACGATATTATGGGTAGATACGAATATAAAAGTGAGTTATTATCAATGATATAGATTTATATTTCGATATAATTTACATGATTTACTCGCATTATGCTAATTCTATGAAACGACAACTGGAAGCATATTTATAATCCTTCGTTTTGAATTTTAGGCATATTAATTTTAGGTCCTATGTAATAAATCTAGGTTTTGTATTCTTCATCATCTGGCATAGAACGCAATTTTTAATTGGTTTTTGAAATTTGGAGAAACTTGGGTTCCAATTCTATCTCAAGCTATCCATATAGTTGTCCTTACATATATATGAACTTGTCATTTGATACGCATTATACAACGTTGTGTCACGTCTCCCGGATGGTCAGTAAAGCTATGGTCACATCCCCAAAAGTAGCCTACTCGGCGGCCGGGTGGCGAGTTTTTAGCCAACTTCGTCCGGCCACCGAGCGGCGGCCGCCCGGGCACTGCTTGTTTTTGTTGAGCAGGCCACAAATCGATCGGTCGCCGCTCTGAGTTGTGATCATAATTCAACGAAACTGCCTATCATGTCTTGAAGGACAGTGCGCGACTCTCAATTTATTCACTTTATTAATCGTTGGTCTCGTAGGAGCATTCGTCTTTCCTTTCATCGGGGGGGGGGGGGGGAGGGGGGGGGGGGGGGGGAGCGTGAGAGGGGCTTCTGCCCCAAAGCCTCCGGACACCAATGATTACAACAAAAGTTAACACCAGCATTTTGGTATGGGTGATTATATGATTACATCATGATGGTATACTTCATTATTGTAATGAGAAGTAATTCTTTCTATAACTCAGCGTTGGGGATATAACCGGTGATATAGCCCAAACAGTAACTCCATGTATTACTGATTCATGTTCATATTTAGTAATGCCATTACAGGACAGAGAGAGATACAACCAGGCGCGTACGCAGGGGGGGGGGGGTTCGGGGGGTTAACCCCCCCCCCCTTTGGTAATTTTATGTATGTAAACCCCCTAAAAAAACCTAAACCCCCCCCCCCTTTTGATTTTTTTTTGTATAAAAAAAAATTATGCCCACGGCCGACCTAAAAAAGGTGACCTCTTATCCCCCCCCCCCCCCCCCCCCGCTTATTCAGCGGTCGGCTGAGTCGTTGCGATTTTTTTGAGACCAAACAAAAAAGTGACTCTTACCCCCCCCCCCCCCCCCCCCCCCCCCGCTTATTCAGTGGCTGGCTGAGTCGTTGCGAAATTTTCGGACCGATTTATAAATGTTAAAACCCCCCCTTGAAAAAATCCTGTGTACGCGCCTGGATACAACATTAACCTCAGCGTCATCTTAAAATCTCAAAAATAAAGTATTATACATTACAATGTATTCATCAGTCTTTGACACAAATCAAACAGGATACTGGGTTTCATTTTTTGTTTTCGTAACATTAATTAATTTGATTTTACTTGCTGTCATTACAGGAGGATAACACAACTGTTACCTTTTCTAACGTTATTACGTACGCCAAGCCTGGTTCGGAAGATGGTACGGCAATCACCCGTAAATATCACATGCAGGTTCGGGTCGAATGTTGCCTCAAGAAAGAGGAAGTCATCAGTGGGTCCTTCAGACCACAGCTTGGTGAGGTGTCCTTTAGCGACAAGGGCTCTGGTGACTTCAGTCTGAGACTCGAAAGGTTCCAGACAAATGCTTTTGATAAAAGTGAATCCGAAACCACCTCCGTTGTCGGGAAAGGAGATTACCTCTACTTTGGTGTGTATCTTGAGTCGGTACCAGGCGTTGGTATGTTTATCGACAGCTGCTGGGCGACAACCACTCAAGACTCAGACGCAGAGCCACATTACTCTCTAATTTCTTCAGGGTTAGTAGAACTTTTCATGAGCCTCAAGAAATATATATCATATAGTGATGGGATAGTGGTTCATTCACTTGACTGTTAATCCAAGGGTTAGAGTTTCCAATACAAGTCCGGCGCTTAGGTCTTTTGGCAAGACATTAATCCACATTTGCCATTCTCCACCCAGGTGTTATTCGGTAACTGGTTTACTGCTGTGTAATGATACTTCGAAGGCCCTCAGGAAAATTGGCATTGATGCTGATGAGGCTCTTTGCCTTACTTCGTTCTGTCGGGTGTTCAAGTCGGGTTCCACAATCTTTCTTAAAAAGTAACCTCAAAATTACGAAAAGTCGTGTGCTTCATGTTGTCGGGTTAAACGATATTTTGTGAAAATATCCCCCAATGGTCAGGTAAACTTAATGCAAATAATCATGTTTTCAAAGATGCTCTTTGAGATACCGATACAGAATACAAAATAGTACAATGAATATTAGTGGCAAAAATATTCAGTCCTGACTGATTGCCAAACAAATATGAATAATATTTCAACAATAACGAGGATTCGACCGCTAGCCTTTTTTTAAAAAGAATGTATGTAACCCGTATTAGAAGTGCTGGGCCGAGATACAAGTTTTTTTAGATTTGATGTAGGTTTTTCAGAGTGTCTAGTAAACTAGACGCAACACTTTGGCGTTGGGTGGGAAGCATTTCACAAACATTATACCTGACCCTTGGGGATTCATGACTTGATTTTTCACGAAAGTTTGTGTAAACCGAAGACGCAATGAACCGATGGAACAAAATAAGCCAGGCTTCTATAGGTAAACAAAGTTAGTAGAAGTAGTGGTAGTGGTGGTAGTAGCAGTAGTAGCAGTAACAATAGTAATCGTTGTTGTAATCATAGTACAAATTGTACACATTTTTGGTGTTGTTATTATTATCATTATTATTACTACGATTAATATTGTTCTTCTTCTTCAACTTTATTTCATGATTTCCGGCCGTTCTCCCACGGCTATGACTCCTGCTAACTCGAGTATATGTTTCAATTGGTTCTACAGTTGCCCGGATGGTGAAACAGTTGATATCTATCGTCTCCTTGGATTGAATCGAGAAGGCTTTTCTTTTAGTGCATTTGCCTTTGTTGGAGATTACACTGAGGTGAAATATTTACATGGCATGAACTTATACACCTAATTACAATTTTGTTTGCCAATTTCATGAGAATGGAAGAAGAAAACTAAGCTGTAGGACCTAGCTCTTAGATAAGTCATGTCTGCCCTGTCTCTTTGGGCTCAGTAATTACATACGTGTAAATGAATCGCAAATGCTTGCAACCAAGGTCTTTAACACATTCACTGAGCTCCATGGTATAAGATACAGAAACCTGGAATCATATTACATATTGCGTCATCTTTTTAAAGACTTTCTTTAAAGCCTTTTTTGTCTTTCTTTGATCAAAATTGCTCACCTTGAAGGGGAAGTCCACCCTGATATTAAGTTGGTTTTGATAACGACAGAAAAATGATAGAAACAAATAAGTGAAAATTTGAGCAATATCCCGTTAAAAATAGGAAAGTTACGGTATACAAAATTGTAGTTCTCTTCAGTGAAACACAAATTTGCAACGCTGTGAGGTACCATAAGAGCTCCTCTCCATTTCGCCCTATACATAGAACTTCGTAAACTGTTATTTTCTTAGTTATTGATGATGGAATAGATATGTTTCATACAGGGGTTGTTTAAAAATACATATTTGCAATAATCTTATTTAGGGCGAATATATGGTTGAACATTTCTAAAAATAAATATAGGTTTCTGACATTACATGGCAGAATGGAAGGGCACTCACAAGATACGTCACAGAGAAGCCAATTATTTTCGATTGATTGCACCTTTTTTTTTTTTTATAGATTTAGTTAAAACTTTCACTGACCTGTTTCTCTCACTTTTTCTGCTTCTATTACAACCAACTTAATATCAGGGTAGACTTCCCTTTTTAAAAATTAGGGAAACTTTAAAAGCACATGTGGTTGGATGTTTAGATAGTATCAAAAAATGTATTGTAATGCATGCATCATCACATATGTTTTTTCAGGTGTACATTCACTGTTCAGTAAAGGTCTGTGGTGCCGCGAAGGCTCAATTGTTTCGAGACGCAGGATGCCCCTCAGAAACTCCACCTCCCGACCGCAAACGTCGATCTTCGTCCTTTCTGTCCACTCAGACAATCAGTAATGGTCCGATTCACATCCGTCGCTCAACCAGCGATATGGCTACTGATGGTATGAACTATTTTGTAACAACCATTTAAAAAACCTGAATGTGTAACATTTTCCTCATAGATAACTAAGTACACCCAGTTTCGATAATCCTTTACAGGACAAAAATAAGGATTGGAATATCTAGAAATATACCATTAGAAGATTCTCACTTCTATTTCTACTAGAAGGTGGAGGGGACGGAGAGGAAGGGGGTGATGAGGAGGAGGAGCAGGAGGGTCATTCCCTGTTCCCATAGATACGCATGTGAATATATCTAATCCACATCCAATTGTTCTACCATATTTTATCTTTTCCAATATCCACAGATTTGTCTTCATACAACCCTTTTGCCATGCTCCTCCTTGGAATGATAGCAACATTGGTTGCTATGGCAATCCTGATGGGTGTGGTCAAGCTTGTTCGTATCTCATCCGATAACAATTACTATCAGCGAGTTCATATTGCTGAATCCATGGAAGGAAATTAAGAGGAAGAGCAGCCATCAGCTCCAAAAGCCATAGTATGGAAAATATTCTCCATCTTTATCGATCATTGATTTGAAATCGAAACAGGACATCCCACAAAGTTGTCTTATTCGGACATACAAACAGGGCCCCTTACTACTCAAAAGAACAACAAGGGGGACACTTCATATCGTGAACATTTCTCATATAAACTGTTAATAAATTATACTAAAATAACACAAATTTTCCTAGAATATGGCGTCCCCAAGGCTCTGTGATCGGCCCTCATTGCTTTAACGTATACCTTCAGCCAGTGGTAGATATCTTACATAAATACGATGTCTTAAACCATATTTACGCGACTACATCCAGATACACTGCGCATGTAATCCGAAGGTTCCCCAAAGCATCAACAATCAATGCTCAAACTACAAAAGAATATCTCTGATGTTCAGTCACAGATGTTGGCTAATAAACTGAAATTTAATCTGGAAAAGACAGAATTCATGATTGCGGGATCTCCAAAGCACCCTCAGCAGTTACATCATGTCCATCTTAAGATTGACGATCATATTATCACTTCACCTTCACAATCTCTTCGCATATTAGGTGTTAGCTTTGACAAGCATATGAATATGCCAAATCATGTTTTAAATGTAGGTGTTGGCTTTGACAAGCATATGAATATGTCAAATTATGTTTTAAATGTAGGTGTTGGCTTTGACAAGCATATGAATATGCCAAATCATGTTTTAAATGTAGGTGTTGGCTTTGACAAGCATATGAATATGTCAAATTATGTTTTAAATGTAGGTGTTGGCTTTGACAAGCATATGAATATGCCAAATCATGTTTTAAATGTAGGTGTTAGCTTTGACAAGCATATGAATGTGTCAAATTATGTTTTAAATGTAGGTGTTAGCTTTGACAAGCATATGATTATACCGAATCATGTTTTAAATGTAGGTGTTAGCTTTGACAAGCATATGAATATGCCAAATCATGTTTTAAATGTAGGTGTTAGCTTTGACAAGCATATGAATATGTCAAATTATGTTTTAAATGTAGGTGTTGGCTTTGACAAGCATATGAATATGTCAAATTATGTTTTAAATGTAGGTGATAGCTTTAACAAGCAGGAATATGTGAAACCATGTTTTAAATGTAGGTGTTGGCTTTGACAAGCATATGAATATGTCAAATTATGTTTTAAATGTAGGTGTTAGCTTTGACAAGCATATGAATATGTCAAATCATGTTTTAAATGTAGGTGTTAGCTTTGACAAGCATATGAATATGTCAAATTATGTTTTAAATGTAGGTGTTGGCTTTGACAAGCATATGAATATGTCAAATCATGTTTTAAATGTAGGTGTTAGCTTTGACAAGCATATGCATATGTCAAATTATGTTTTAAATGTAGGTGTTAGCTTTGACAAGCCTATGAATATGTCAAATTATGTTTTAAATGTAGGTGTTGGCTTTGACAAGCTTATGAATATGTCAAATCATGTTTTAAATGTAGGTGTTAGCTTTGACAAGCATATGAATATGTCAAATTATGTTTTAAATGTAGGTGTTAGCTTTGACAAGCATATGAATATGTCAAATTTTGTTTTAAATGTAGGTGTTGGCTTTGACAAGCATATGAATATGTCAAATCATGTTTTAAATGTAGGTGTTAGCTTTGACAAGCATATGCATATGTCAAATTATGTTTTAAATGTAGGTGTTAGCTTTGACAAGCATATGAATATGTCAAATTATGTTTTAAATGTAGGTGTTGGCTTTGACAAGCTTATAAATTTGTCAAATCATGTTTTAAATGTAGGTGTTAGCTTTGACAAGCATATGAATATGTCAAATTATGTTTTAAATGTAGGTGTTAGCTTTGACAAGCATATGAATATGTCAAATTTTGTTTTAAGTGTAGGTGTTGGCTTTGACAAGCATATGAATATGTCAAATCATGTTTTAAATGTATCAAAATATGTTAATTTCTATTTACGTAACCTCAGTAGAATAATGAAGTTCGTATATACAAAGATTCTTCAATGTAGTTTTAAGATCTCTTGTTTAGTATCGTGTAGATTAGTGTAATTCACTTCTATATTGGAAACAAAAGAATGTAAACGTCTCGCCTCCTATCACTAATCTTCACTCGCGCGTTCTTGATCGTATCATACAGAAGACCCTCTCATTAACAAGAATTTCAATAATAGGGACAGTTAGATTTGCACGTCGACATATTGGACTGCTATACGTGTCACGTCCTTTTAAGGCACTGTGATTTACTTTTAAGGCACTAGCTGTGATGTCCTTTTAAAGGTACTATGTCCCTTTTGCAGCCAACCTCAAATTCTGTAGAACTTTGCAGGAATTATGAATATTTCATGTATGTCCTATCTGTGAAAATTTAAACGTTAGCAGTGTCCTCATATTCAAATAATGCAAGGAAACCCGTCTACTTGCTAGACTTCACTGTCAGACACTATTGAGTGACTGACTGGCCTTTTTTCTTCTTTGGTAATAACATACATGAAAAGAGTTGTAAAGGGTAAATGAGCATTTGTCTACATCAATAACCCACTTCTTGTGATGGCCAAGATTAAACTGATTGAATCTTTGCGCAGCATAAAACGTATGACCATTCGGTACAATTGTCTGAAAATCAAGACTATTACTTTGGGCTCTATAGCCCTAAAGTCGATTTGACAACTAATAGTCATTATTTTCAACTTAAAGACATTTTCAAGCCCTACCTTTTTTAGGGAAGTTCTAAATTAGTATTATCTTTCAAATGCAGTTGGAATTTAACTTTTTCATTTTTTTGGCCTGCAAATGGGACATAGTACCTTTAAGGCACTGTCACGTCCTTTTAAGGCACTGTGATTTCCTTGTAAGGCACTAGCTGTGATGTCTTTTTAAGGCACTGTCACGTCCTTTTAAGGCACTGCTATGTCTTTTAAGGTAATTCCAGTGCCTTTTTAGGACGTCACACGTAGCCGTCCACTAAGTCGACGTGTAAATCTTAAAGTCCCTAATCAGGCTAAAGCATACCCAGGTGATTTATTCCGTTCGCACACATGCATGTGTAAGCCAGTACTAAAACACTTACCGTCCCTCTAACCAGTAAACAGTTTTCGTTATTGCTCCCAAAACCCGGAACTCCTTCCCCCGTCTTCTTAAGAATTGCCATACTCTCACATTTCTTTTAGTAGTGTTTTTCTAATTTGTTCTTCTCGGTTTATAATCAATGTAAGCTTCGTATGATAATGTTTATTTTTGTTTGTTAGTATTTTTCTGTTTATCCGCCTTGTATCTAATAAAAAGGCGCTTTACAAATGTAATATTATTATTATTATCATTATTATTATTATTATTATTATTATTATTATTATTATTATTATGTAATATTATTTTTATTATACAATATTATTATAATTATGTAATATTATTAATATTATGTAATATTTTTATTATTATGTAATAATATTCTTATGTAATATAAATGAAAATTTAGTTCTCTACCGACGGCAGTTATTTGAAAATCTTTACCATAGATAGTATCCAATTTTAGCTTTTGTTTTTGAGTGTATTACTACAACTATTACTACTACTACTACTATTACTACCGGTAATCTTTATTGAAAGGGGCAGCTTTTATAAAAGAGAGTGATATAACCCAGAACAAAATAAATAAGATCATAGAAGTAAAGAATCTTATATTTATTGGTCAGTTTTGTTTTGTATCGACCTCATGATTTTTGGAAAACCTTTGTTTCAACTAATTATTGACCTCGAACCTTATTAAAGGGAAAGTTGAGTTCTGTTTTCAGACCGCAAATGCCTTCAAAGTGCATGTTTATTGCTCTTATTCTTATCTATGATATTTCTAGTGCCTTTTAATTGCTATGAAGGTACTTTAGACCCCAAAATGTGTAAAAATTAGCCAATACGATCATACCAATTCAGCTCCACTTTAAAAAAAAACACGGTTACCGTCAATTAATTAATTAATTAATAATAACAATACATGGGCCGTCTGCTTGTGCGTAATATAACCACCACGGCAAAGCCAACAACAGCAAATCCAACATCGGCATTGGCTGAAATACAACATAAAAGGCGCTATTTCGTTTTTTCAAATTATCGAATATTTGTGGTGATACACAAATATTAGAAGTCGTTATAATTATGGATATTTCAGCCGTCTCTGAACCGATTTTGATCAAACAAAGATGATTTTGTCATTTAAATTGTATGTTCTTTCTAATTTGACACGCAGTTTTTCATTATCTCACAACAAAATATTTTGTGTAGCGCCCTCTGCAACAGAACTCAACTATCTCTTTAACAACGAGCCCACCTATACGTCATAGCGAATACAAAGTGGGTAAAATATGAACATAATAATAATTATAATTGCTTATATAGCGCTTAACACATAATTTATCAGAATAATAATAATATAAAATACAATAATGCAGCATAACTACGCTGGCTTTAGCAGTGCAGCTGTTACGCGTGATGCGTTTTCAAGGACTAAATCCCTACCAGGTCCCCATTTTCTTCACCTGGGTGGAGTGTTTGCAAGTGTAGATCAATGTCTTGCCAAAGGTCATTAGTGCCGTGGCGGGACTCGAACTGCGGACCTTGTGGTCGACAGTCCGGCTACGTATCCACTAGACCACTAGACCACGACACCTCTACTACACAACATCAGAACTAGGGTTAATGAACATAAGTATATCACTTTTCGTGATGTTAACAAAATGAATGTTGATAATTTTCAAGGAGAATTGTTAAATGAATCATGGAATGATGTACACAATATAAACGATGTGGATGAATCTTATTGTACATTTGCAACAACGTTTAAAAGGATTGTTGATAAGCATGCCCCAATGAAGACGAAGAGGGTCAAACAAAATAATGTCCCATGGATAACAAAAGAAATAAAGGACATGATGAAAGAAAGAGATAAACAGAAGAGGAAAGCTAAGCGCATTGGCAATGTTAATGAATGGGAAAGTTATAAGAAGTTAAGAAATAGTGTTACTACATTATTGCGAAATTCAAAAAAGGTGTACTTACAAGATAAAATAAAGGAAAATGCAGGTAATAGTGCCGCGATTTGGAAAGCACTTAGATGTATGATCCCTAATAAACGGAGTAACTCTCGTATTCCTGGTATTAAATTTAATGATCAAACGATTAATAACGATCATGAAATGGCTAACATTTTTAATGATTTTTTTGTCAGTATTGCACGAACATTACATGATGGTTGTAATTCAGATGGTGACTTTACTTCCTTTTTAAAAAGGGCAGATACAACATTTGAATTTAAGGCTGTTTTGATCGAAGATGTAAAAAGAGTGCTGACAAATATTCCTGAAAATAAGGCCACTGGTTTGGATGACTTACCGGCTAAAATGATTAAAATGGCAATGTCCTACATTGTCTCACCATTGACACACTTGATAAATTTGTCTCTAACCAGTGGCGTAATCCCGAAGGAATGGAAAACTGCAGTAGTAATCCCCATATTCAAAAGTGGGGATGTTTTTGAATTGTCAAACTACCGACCGATCTCGATCCTCCCGATCCTATCTAAAGTTATTGAAAGGATTGTGCATGAACAGGTCACTGAATATCTTACACAAAATTCGTTGTTGTACAGTCACCAATCTGGATTTCGCCAAAACTATTCATCCGCAACAGCCCTCTTGAACCTTACTGAAGATCTATTATCTAATATGGATAACGGTCTGGTAACCGCATTTGTAGCGTTGGATTTAAAGAAAGCGTTTGATACTGTAGATCACAATCTGCTCGTAAAGAAACTCGAATGGTACGGATTTGATCAAAATAGTGCATCTTGGTTCAAAAACTATTTGAGTGAGCGCACACAAGTCACCAAAGTAAATGGTATTACATCATCTGTTGGGAAAGTAGAGTGCGGAGTCCCACAAGGATCAATATTGGGGCCGATGTTATTCCTAATATTCATAAATGACATTGCAAATGTGGTGAAGCATTCATCAATATCATTATTTGCAGATGATACGTGTATATATTATTCCTCCAATAGTGCCACTGATGTATCAAACAAGGTTAATGATGATTTAAATACTGTAACTTTATGGCTGAATGCTAACAGGCTGATACTTAATATGAGCAAAACTGAATATATGCTTATT